CATCAACTGAAAGTTTGAAAGCTTATTTAGGCATTTGCCTTTATGGTTGACGGGGGCTCTAGTTTCTAGTTCCTTTATTCTAAACTTTAATGTTCTTATCTCACTGTAGAACATAGCATAGTTGAAAGCGTATGAGTCAGTTTTGGAGTTAGACAAATATGAGTTAAAATCCTGATCGTAAGAGATAAAGCTGAGAGTCAGTATCACAGAAGGCCTGAGCTAAGAGATCTTGTGGATACTGTTCCTGGCTGGCTGCTCTCTCTTGAGAGAATGGAATTCTTCTAGAAAAATGGCTATTTTCAGTGATCTCAACATTCCTAAGTCTGCCTTGTCAATATCCTTAGGGGTGTGTGTGTGTGTGTATGTGTGTGTACACAAAGATAGAATATATGTAACATCAGATCCATTTCCAATGCTATGGTTCTTAAATAAACAGCAGCCAATTCTGAACAACATTCTGAAAAACCAGGGATAACAAACAGGATTCACTCTGTGGAAGCAGAATTATGATGGTTATATTAGTTTCCTAGGGATACCATAACAAATGTCCACAAACTTGGATAGCTTAAGACAACAGAAGTTAATTGTCTCATAGTTCTGGAGGCTAGAAATCCTAAAGCAAGGTGTCTGCAGGATCATATTCTCTCTAAGGCCTCTAGGGGAGGATACTTTCTTGCCTTTTCCTAACTTCTAGTGGTTGCAGTCCTTGGTGTTCCTTGGCTTGTAGATGAATCACTCTAATCACTGCCTCCATAGTCACGTGGTGTTCTCCCTATGTCTGTTATCTGTGTCCAAATTTCCCTCTTCTTATAAGGATACCAGTCATTGAATTAAGGCCTACTCTATTCCAGTGTGACCTTAACTTAAATTGTTTACATCTGCAAAGATATATTTCCAAATAAGATCACATTTACAAGTACCAGGGGTTAAGACTTCAACATACCTTTATGGGTACACAATTCAACCCATATGTGATGACTAAGATTATGTGCCAACTTGGCTGGGCCATGATTCTCAGTGTTTTAATGTGATCACTCCCATGATTGACTATACCGTGAGTAGCCAATCAGATGAAAGGGAGTCTCCTTGGGGGTGTGGCCTGCATCTGAATATAAGCAGACATTCTGGCTTTTTGCTTACTCTGGATCCTGCGGCTGCCTCCTGTCATGTCATCTCCCATGCTTGGGACGTGAGCTGTCAGCTTATCTGCCGAACTTGGGATTCGTCGGTCTTCACAGCCTGTGAGTGGAACCCTGCTCTCTGACCTGCTGCTCTTGGGTTCACCAGTCCCTGCAGCTACATGAATCAGGAGAAACCTTGTTGTCTTGCCTGCCAATCTTGGAATTCGTCAACCTTCAAAGCCTGTGAGTGGGAGCCCTGCTCTCTGACCTGCCAATCTTTGGCTCGCCAGCTTCTGCGGCTGCATGACTTGGGAGAGGCCTCTACCCTGATCCACGGACTTGGGACATTCTAACTTCTACAATCGCGTGAGCTGTTTCCTTGATATAAATCTCTCTATATATATATATTTATAAGCTTTACTGGTTTTGCTTCTCTAGAGTACCCAGCCTAAGACACCACAACAATGGTTTTTCAAAGTATGATAGTAATATAGTTGTTTATGTTGTGAAACAGGCAATGCTTATCTTCAGGATCTATCAACCTCTTCTTTCTGGGATTCCTTTCTGCTGTTGGTCCCAGATGTCCCATGACCTCCCCGGAGTACACCAAAATGAACTTCAAACATGCGTTCTGGAGCTCACTGACATGCTTTTCAGCTCCAGGCCAAGTTATCCTAGCTCTTTTGGTTTTAGATGCATACTTTCATTATTACCTCTAATGCTATTTTATTTGTGCATTGCATTATGGACTTTCGATATCATGCCAGTCATTTGACATCACAACAATCCTGAGAAGTAGGCAGGATGGGTATTATCTTCACTTGACATCAAAGGAAATTTAGGCACAGGGACATTGTATGACTTACCCAAAGTCACACAGCAAATGGCAGGAAGAACTAAAGTCTTCACTGCCAGGCCAGAGGACTTTCTATAAACTAAACACGACTTTTATTTCAGAACACCACAAGGAAACTAAAGTCTCCAGACAATTAAAATAATAAAAATTAGAAAATTCCTCACTTAAATTTAAGTCTTTTCCAATAGGAAGTACGTATGTCTGGTTTTCATCTTTGAGACAGAAGCATTTCTGAAGGACTGGTATCCTCAGGCCTTTTTATGACTCGTCTTTGTGAAATTTGAAGATCTTGACAATCTTTGGGATTTCCAGTAGCTTCTCATAGATTCTTTTTTATTTTTCATTTCATTGTAACATTATTAGTTGTAAAGAGCTTTAAATGCATTCTTCTTAATGAATATTTAATGGATTTCCTCTAGAGACTATAAATTCTGAGGACTCTCACCTTGGAAAGGGAAAGAGATTTGAGTGGGTCCTTGAACCTGAGCATTAGCTAAAAGGAGCAGTATCTATCACCGACATGAAAAAAGGAATTGGAGCCAAATCCCACCTGCTACACAATTCATCCGGATGCCTGAACCAATCCCGGGGTACACTGAGATCATTTGTTGGAAATTATTTGTTTCTGTTGGTTTTTATTTACTTATCTTCTCCAGAAGCTCACAAACAGTATTTGCTATTATTTGATATAAAATAATTAATGTTGGTGCCTTTTCCCAAAATATCTTAAAGCATTGCGTAAATAAAAATGAAGTGTAATAAATCTATCAAATTAATATCTAATTTTAAAATGTTTAAGCATATCTCTAGTTAAGCTAGACAATTTTAAAACTTATGTTTTATTCCTGATTCAAACACATCCTTCTAAAGGATTATACTTAATAGATGTTCCTGTGAAACCTCTAAGTTGATCAGCTGAAATAGAAGATATTACTATAACCAGTGAAAAATATTTGTGTAGTAGGCTATAATTCATAACATAATTTTTATATGTATCAACACTAAGCTAATAATAGGCTTTGAGTCTCTCATCAATCACACTCAAAAAGAGAACTTAGGTATTTCAAACACTGCACCCTTACATCCCAATCAATCAAGGCAATGACTTATTTGAGTGCAAAGACTATGTCTTACATCTTCAGCCACTACCATTTAACATTTACCCCTCAAAGATTTGTGAATTACTGAATGAGTAATGAATGAATGACCAGACTACTGAATGAAAATGTGACCCATCATCCCTTCTGGGGGGGAGAAAAAACACTCCAAGTGTAATCTGTGCTATTGAAGACTTGTAGCATTACTGTAGAAGTCCAACTGACTAGCTGAAGCAACCAATGGGATGTACTGTAAGGGTATACAAAAAAAAAACCCATTGCTGTCAAGTCGATTATGACTCATAGCCACCCTATATTGTAAGGGTATAGGAGTGTTTTATTGAACCCAAAAACTAGGAGACACTTGGACTTCAAAGAAGAGCTGTGCATTGAAACTTGAAAGGCAGAAAAACTCTCCGTGCCTCCCCTAAGCTCTTTTCTGTGAATTTGCTTTACTCTACCTCCCTGAAGATCAGCTTCCTCTGCTTCTCAGGACCATTTGATGAAATGTAGCCACTCTGACTTTGCATCTTACGTTGTTGTGGTTAGGTGCTGTTGAGTCAGTTCCAACTCATAGCAATCCTATGTATATAGAACGAAACACTGCTGGGTCCTGTGCCATCTTCATAATTGTTGTTATGCTTGAGCTGATTGTTGCAGCCACTGTGTCAATCCATCTCGTTGAGGGTCTTCCTCTTTTTCACCGACTGTCTACTTTACCAAGCATGATGTCCTTCTCCAGGGACTGGTCCCTCCTGATAACATGTCCAAAGCATCTTATAGTTCCAGTCAAATAGACTGAGCTGACTCCCTGGACTCCAATTCCAAATTCCTGGGAGAGAATATCTTATTGGTTCAGCTTTGTTCATGATTCCAGCTCTGGTCCA